ACCATCGACTTTGACGGCATACAATGTCTATTCTACGTCGCTGGATTCCAAGGACCAGACTTTGCGGAATACCGTACACGCCTGCTGAGGAAAGCTGGACCAATCCGAGAAGGTCACACTGAAGGACCTCACAGCGGAGTGTCAGCTGATCAAGTCATACAAGGAGGATTCTCGTATGCTTGAAGGTGAGCCAGCTGTCAACCTTATCCGTCACAGAAGAAACTTCCGAAAGAAGAAGTTCAACCATCTGAAAGAGCAGAAATATCGCAAAGGTGCGTTCCCTTACCAATCTAGCCGGAAGGAGGCGAGATCTCAACGTGGAACGACCGCCCACCATCGCCGGAAACGTAAGATTGAAAATGTCATAGCTGCTCTTAAAAGGGACAACCACCCGCAACTAGATGTAAACATAAATGGTTATCCGACGCAACTCCTACTTGATACCGGTGCTGACCTCACCATTATCTCCGAAGCCAAATGGAAACTGGTCGGAATGCCCATTTTGCAGAAAACAGATGTTATTGGATACACAGCAAACGGATCCCCTCTGAAGTTCCGTGGATGCTTCGAGACCGAATTCACGGTAAGCAACTCATCTGGAAAACTATTCCCTGGACGTGGAACATGCTTCGTCACCGAAGACGACTGCAACGTTTTTGGAATGCCGTGGATCAAACAACTTCCAGACCTTTACAGAGCAGTGAAGAAGTATCAAATCCATCAAACAATCATCGTGGACCACGAAATTGCCTTCAGAGACGCCCTAGTTGCCAACCTGAAGAAGAAATTCGCAAATGTATTTGAACCTGGTCTCGGACGATGCACGACGGCAAAAGCAACTCTGAAACTGAAACCAGACGCCGTACCTGTATTCAAGAGGAAACGCCCGGTACCATATGCCAACGTTGAAGCACTTGACAAGGAAATTGACCGTCTACTTGCAGAAGACGTGCTCTCCCCTGTCACCTACTCCAAATGGGCAGCACCTATCGTCGTAGTGAAGAAGGCAAACGGAACTATTCGCCTATGTGCCGACTATTCCACTGGCCTCAACGACGCGCTTATGCTGCACCAACACCCACTGCCCACACCTGAGGATATTTTCACAAAACTTAATGGTGGAACAGTATTCACGCAAATCGACTTTGCCGATGCCTACTTGCAAGTGGAAGTCGACGATGCCTCAAAAGAACTTCTGACGATCAACACCCACCGAGGACTATTTGCCTACAATCGTCTACCATTCGGAGTTAAATCTGCTCCAGGCATCTTTCAGCAGATCATAGATTCCATGATTGCTGGGTTGAATGGATGTGCCGCATACTTAGACGACGTAATCGTTACTGGTCGCACTAAAGAAGAGCACACCGCCAATTTGGAAGCCCTTTTCGAAAGAATCCACAAATTTGGCTTCCGCGTCCGCATCGAGAAGTGCAGTTTCCTGATGCCTCAGATCCGTTACCTAGGCAATATCATCGATGCAAATGGACGCCATCCTGACCCTGCGAAGACAGAGGTTATCAAAAAGATGCCACCTCCCAAGGATATCACACAAGTACGATCGTTTCTGGGATTACTCAACTACTATGGAGCCTTTGTCGAACAAATGCGCCAGATTCGCGCGCCATTGGACAAGCTACTCAAAAAGGATGTACCGTTCAATTGGTCACCAGAATGCCAACAAGCCTTCGATCGTGCCAAAGAAGTCCTGTCGTCAGACCTACTGCTCACTCATTATGACCCTCTAAGGAAATAATCGTCGCGGCCGATGCTTCCGAATATGGGATAGGAGCAGTAATATCACATCGTTTCTCGAATGGAACGGAGAAGCCAATCTACCATGCTTGCCGCACCCTCACAGCTGCAGAGAAGAACTATGGACAAGTGGAAAAAGAAGGACTCGCCCTTGTATTCGCAGTCCGAAAATTCCATCGTTACCTCCACGGACGCCCTTTCAAACTTTTGACGGATCACAAGCCACTCCTTACAATATTTGGAAGTAAAAAGGGCATTCCTGTCTATACAGCAAATCGACTCCAAAGGTGGTCACTCATCCTGCTCAACTACAACTTCACAATTGAACACCGGACCACCAGCAACTTCGGACAAGCCGACGCACTATCCCGGCTCATTGCCGAACAGCCAACTCCGATGGAGGATACAGTCATCGCCGAAATCAACCTGGATGCTGCAAATCTGTTCTCGCAGACATCTACAAAACTCCCAGCAACAGCAGAAACTATCGCTGAAGAAACGCTCAAGGATTCACAATTGAGAGAAGTTCTTCAATGCGTTCAAACTGGAAAATGGCCGAAGAAACCAAAGAATCACTTAATTCGTTTCAACTCGATGCGCAACAGTCTCACGACTCACAGAGGATGCTTACTATTCGGAGATCGCGTCATCATCCCTAGTAGTCTACAAGCCGCTGTTCTCTCAGACTTACATAATGGTCATCCTGGGATTTCAAGGATGAAAATGCTGGCTAGAGACTATTGCTACTGGACACACATCGACAAGGATATCGACAAAGTGAACTCTTGTATCCGTTGCCAGCAAATGGCCAAGAACCCCATCAAGACTACCCTTTCCTCGTGGCCTACAGAAGAGAAGCCATGGAACCGCGTTCATGCAGACTTTGCAGGACCAATTGATGGCAGAATGTTCCTTGTACTCGTGGACGCCTACTCGAAGTGGCCAGAGATTACTGAAATGTCATCCACAACAACTCGCTCTACAATCAAGGAACTCCAACGGTTATTCTCACAGTTCGGCTACCCGGAAGTTTTCGTCACTGACAACGGAACATCATTCACGTCAAAAGAATTCAAGGAATTCTGTTCACAGAATGGAATCAAACATGTTCGCTCACCACCATTTCACCCACAATCCAATGGCCAAGCAGAACGCTTCGTGGATACATTCAAGCGGAACCTTCAGAAACTCAAAGGGGAAGGAACGACACAAGAAGCTTTACAAATTTTCCTATTCAACTACCGCAGAACGCCATGTCCAACATTGCACGGATTGTCACCAGCCGAAGTGTTTCTCGGAAGACGTTTACGCTCTACGCTCACATTGCTGAAACCGTCGGAATCAATCTCAGAACCGAGAAGAAACCAAAAGATGGAAACTCAATTCAACCTTCATCACGGAGCGAAGCCAAGAAGGTTCAAGCCTGGTGATTATGTCTGGATTCGCGACTACCGTGCTGGATACCCAAGATGGACACAAGGCCGAGTGAAACTTCAACATGGACAGTGTCTATATGATGTTCAAGTCGACGACCAACTCTGGAGAAGACACGCCAATCAACTGCGGCCCAGTACCTGCCCAGCAAATACGACATCGCTTACGGATGCATTCGATTTGCCGCTGCTTCCACGTCTGGACGCTAAGGAACCCATACGAGAAGACCATACTGTGCCGAACAAGGATCATGTGCCGCTTCAAGATGCCGATCTGCCCGCTCCAACCGATCGACAGAAACGGTCAAGACATCCGCCAGTTCGATTGCAAATCAATCCGAAGAAGAAGACATACACATCTAATGTTTGTCTTAGGAGGGAGGTGTTGTGAGGGTGATACTAGATCACTGGTATCCCTGATCAACATCCTATACTGGCCGTATATAAGACCAGTCATTGAGTATGGTTCATTCTGTTATTGCTCATCGTGCTCAGAATAAACTCCTTCATCCTCGTCGTACGCGTTCTGCATACACTACAAGGATTACAACAGGTAATATGTTCAGAGAGGGCATATGACCAAATCCCCAGATCGAGTACGTCGTATACTTGATGTACTTGATCTACTTGCCCTGCTGGGCCGTAAATTCGGAAGAATTTCGAAAATTAGAGTTGAAGCTCTATAGCGAAGCAAAAATTTTCGCGCCAACCGGATGCAAACCCGCATGCGTTTGACTTGAAAGCGAGACCATTACCACGAGGCCACGTGGCACTGCCGAGCATCGATCAGCAGCGCTTACGAGCCAGAACTCAAACTTTGACCACCCAGATCTCGTCTGGGAGGTCCCCGTAGCACTTTTAATCTGCATATTCGTAATCAGCATTCGAGGCTCTATCGATGTACCTAGGTCTCCATTCAAAGTTCCATGGGAAGTTCAAACCATTCCCTTGTTAGGGTGGGATTCGTTCCTGCTAATCAGGAAAGGGATGAATATGATGAAAACCTGTGAGCAGATAGTGTTCTTCGCAATAAGGCATGACTAAATAGTTAAATTAGCTCGAGGAGCTATCAGCAGTTATGGGCTGGACCTAGTATCACTGATGACTGTTAATTCAGCCATGACTAACACACACCCAGTTTTTTTAAAACTGAGTCAAAATCTCCGATTTTCCTAAAATGCCGTATTTAGTGGTTGTTTGATCCCCTGAACACGAATTCACACTCGTTTAGCGCGAGTGATTTCACCTCGTGCACCAAAGGAGCCGATGCATTGAGGTGGAGCGCCTTCACGAAAATATAGTGGGGGAAAACCCCTCACAACTCCGTCCGTTCGACCGTTTCGTAAATTTTGAAGGTAGGTTCAAGTTCATCGTCTCAGAACTAATACAATGGTGGGCACATCACTGCAAATGGCCAGAATGACCTGTTGATCTTCCCCAGTCAACATTCCTATGATAACTATCACGAAGGATTGTTTTGCATTCTCTGTTGCTTTCTCTCTGTTGTATAACCATTAACATCAGACGACTATTCTTGACATGAATATTTACTTGAATATTTACTCTGGCGCGTACGCACTGTCCAGAAGATAGAGAGAATAGATTTTCGCCTTGACAGCAGCACTCAGTCAAGGGTACCCTACCCACGACTACCTTTTTTGAGATCAATCCTAGCATACTCCATTACTTTTCCATTCAAAGGTACCCTGTATTGGCTTGTCTTTGACTCTTGCACCATATTTACTAAAATGTTTGCTCACTGCTCGTGATCATTCAGGTCATAATAGTCTTATGATGGATTTATAGGATTATTTAGAAATCTTTGACTGCTAATGGTTCGATGACTTTGCTAACCTCGGCACTTGGATCGATGAATACGTCACCAACAATCTGAGCGCGATCCTTGCACAAACGAGCTGCGTATCGCTTTTTAAACAAACGAAGGTAATGCCGATTCGCGTATAGCACAGCCCTGAAACAAATCAATGCACTACCTTTCGAAAACCATTTTCAGTGCTTTTTGTAGGGAGTAGAGGACTTCCACTTGACATTTTTACATCTTCCTTGGGCAATCGCTCAGAAAATGAAGAAATGACAATAAATGCGGGCAGCCAGTCATCTATCTATCTATCACCTGGACAAGATAACAGCGTCGTCCCCTTCAAATTTTACTGAAATTATATATAAACTTCTAGAGCGGACTTACGCTGCGGTTTTTGTTTGACTCCACCAACGAGTAGTATGCAAAGCAAATAGTTTTCCATTACATGCCATCTGAGGAAAAATGTCGGTCTCAAACCATAAATTACAAGCAGGTTCGACTTTCAACCCCTGCAACATCGTCGCTGTTATTGCAACTCTATATAGTCAGCTTCCCAGATGAAAAATTAGCTGCATGGAGAGTATTGACTTCATTTTCAAAAAGCTCAGTGCTTTGACAAAATTCACAAAAGCTGCTTCGATTAATTTGTTCCGGTTAAGTTGCTGAACAATTGCAGAGAAAGAACGAACCATAATGACGCTTGGTTTCATTAAATAAACCCCGCAAGAAATATGAGTTGAAACAAATGTTGTGGGCTTGTCGACATAGTGTACAACACGGCCACTGTTGTCGATAACTACCTTAAAAATGCGAATCTTCCTCACACATACGTGCGTACGAAACGCCTGCAAGTACTTGAAACAAATCCGTGATTGTGTATTATATGGGTAGAGACATTCAATTATAGACCTACAGTCGCTCACCGACTTTCCTGGGAAGAAAAAAAGCAAAAAAAATCATGAAGAACACCCTCACTTAGGACCACTGGCACCCTCAGTATCAGATCTCGCTCGTTTTTTGCCAACAAAAGGTATGCGAGCAAAGGTCCTTTCCCCTCTGGCTCAATAAATGTTTCTTTGCGTCATCCAACGCTAGCACCATTAAACAGTGAAAGAAAACGAAAAATACTATGCGAAAAATGAATTCCTGCAGAAAATAACTTTTAAGTTTTGATGGGCGGGGCAACTCGGAGACGGACAAGAGAATCGTAATGTGTCTATCCGCGCGTGCTACGATGAGCGCAGCATTTTCTTATCTCTGTGAACCTGTCGATCGGAGCAGCGAACTTCATAATGACCCCGTCATCGTAGACACTCATGACTATCCGAAGCCTAGTTCGATCGAAGCCTAACAACGCAACAATTACGATCCTCTTGTCACATACCCGGGGCAACTAGGGAGGCGTCAGAATGGCACTTATGAGGGAGCCCCGCCTTTGTTACTCAATGTGTAGCTCTGAAGGTGGGATAGTAATAGAGACAGAGGGTCACGCTACTTGTTTAAGTAAGGACGCCTGCTGCTTTGCTTTGCATTGCTTGAGCGCGTGGATCGTCTATAAAGAGATTTTGCGTGTATTTCAGTACAAAGGAAAGTGGGCGCATAAAGGCTACAACTATCAGTACCGTAGTACTCGGCTATGGAAGAAGGATTGAAGTCGAGTAAGTTGCTACTTTTGAATTAGAGAAGTTTTTTCAACCAGATGAGTGGAGGTGAAACCATGCTCCTCCCTTTATTTCAATTTCCGCCAACATGCAGACTTCATTGAGTGGAAATTTGACTTTTCGAAGGGAAACCATTGAAAGAGAGTGCGGTCTCTGCAATTATATCACATACTACTTGTACACTTTCAAAGCATTTTCATCCCCTACGAATTCATTTCATGCACAAGTCTGTTTTGGATTCAGTGTTAAATACTGCAAATTTCAATTTATTTCCAACCAAATATAATGCGAAAGTTGCCCCTATTCCACTCGGTTTTGAAATGAAATCGTCCCACTGCAAAATAAATCGCAATTGCAAAGGAAACCATTTCGATGAAATGGCAGTTCATGCAGCCACTGTCGTGAATCCTTTGATGAAGTAAATGTGCCTATGAGAACTGTCGGAGAGTACAATTTATAGAGCAGGTGCATTACTAGAGATCCGAGCGATCGAATCACAAAATATGAACGAGGTCGTACATTGCTCAACCTCAGATCCACACCTATGGCAGTCGCCTTCCTGTATCTAACCCTGGAACCCAGCCGCATGGTGGGCACTTACCGGTGAACCTTGTACAACCTGTGGGTTGGAAAAATCCCTAATCGGCAGATAAAGAAATCAGAAAACATGTAAAAAGAAGATGATACTTCTACGTAACTGAAAAGTCGGAGATATTAAGAAAAACTAACGTTCCCAAAGTTTCCACTTTGTTCTCGAGTTGCCTCTGTTGTCAAGAGCAAACAGCTGTCACTGGGTAAAGAAGCTATACGGGTGACCATTTCATCAACTGGGAGATCTCCACACACATCACCGTTGATAACGAATAATCCTTCAGGTGAGTCCCCGACAATTGTGTCTTTTTGAGCCACTAAGCCGCCAGCAGTACCTGCAAAATAATAGGACAGGTTTATAAAAGTGCATGGTCAGGGTTTGAAAGCTAGCCACTACTTCTTAAACATGAAAAACGTAAATCACAAAAATAGGCATAAGGATCTGAGATCAACAACTCACTAACCTAAAGGCTGTTGTTCCTGAGCATACTTTATGGAAATACGATAAGTCTGTTGACATCTGCCAATAAAGTCTGTGAAAAGATCAGAAGAATAAGAACCAATTAAGATAATTTCGGACAATCCGGGGAGCTAAAAAAGGCGCTACGAATTTTTGATGAACTAAAATAGATATCAACATTGAAATCTTTGGAAAGAAAATTCAAAAAAGAAAGCAGCGAGTAAATCGCGCCCTGCCATATTTGTATGATTTAACACGAACATTGACTTTAACCGTTTAAAACTAATACCCAGCCACCAAGGTAAATAAATACATTTCCTGTGAATTTTCCAGGCACCGGTTCTAAAGCATGCGGGAGAAGAACGCTACTTTCTCACTCAGGGTGCCTTCATACTTTGCACAGCGTTTTGAACGACTAGCAAAGTATAGGTATCGATCCAGCGTTCTGAACGCCATTTTGTACGCGCGCGAGCGTTTTCAGGATAATGATACCTATACTTTGTTAATTTCAGTACGCTGGAGGATGTAGTGACACCATTCCAGCGCAACCCTATTCCCATAAAAACGAGCTCATGAGAATGAACGGAATGAATTTCTGCACTGGATGGTCGTCCTCATACTACTGAATCCACTGCGGGTCGCATCTACTTCCTACAGCGTCCGCGCAACGCGTGTCGACCGCGGCGCTCCTGGCATTTTGCCATTCTTTGGTGATTCACGCTTCCAATAGCGATTAGAACGCGAACCTCGCTGAGCGGGACTTCAATTGAAGATCAGTTAGTTGTTTCAAAGTTGCATGCCTTTCGCAATTGCGCTTCAATGAGAAGAACGTGAATTGAAGAGCAGTTAGCCAGTTTCAGAGACCCATACACAACGCAAGCGCATTTGAACGAGGACAGAAAGCATTTGCAGGTAGTAACTGGTAATAGGTAACACATGAAAACTGCACGACGCTCTTCCTGCATAGGAAGAGCGTCATGCAGTGACACGAGGACGTATCTGCATATATGGGTACTATTCAACTATTATTACCTAAGAACTCGAAAAAAAGGACTGCTGAAACTTTGCCTATACGGATTACTCGATGCCCTGATCAGAAGTATGACATTCGCTTTCGATGCGCGCATTTAAGCGCCAGTAGGCGCCGACTTAACACCAACACTTTCCTTACCAATAGCGATGTAAACTTGCTTACCGGGGTAATCGGTGCCCTGATCACAAATATGGCATTCACTTTTAGCTCTGACGCTTTGCCGTAACACCCTTTTCACTAAAATTGATTAAAATCCGCGTAATGGGGTTTCCATTGTCACGAAAATGGCATTCACTTTCCGATTCAGCGCTCTGCTAAGGCTGAGCCTGGGAGAAGGATTACCTTTGGGCCAGGCCCAGCCTCAGCGGAGCGTAGACGACCGTAGAATGTTGTATTAGTGCCTGCACCAGGAATGAATGTCATGTTCATGATCAAGATCTCAAATAGCCTGCAAGTTTTAATCGCCGATGCCTGTGGTGCGGGCACCAGTTTTTCGGGCCAATTAGAAACAAAGAGAAACAAATATTGGGGAAAGGAATACACTCCAAAACACAGATGATCCGTTTCGCCCGTTATCGCACAATTTTAGTATATGTTCAGGAATGAACAAGCGGGTGTGGATATGTTCAGGGGTCAGAACACCCTCCTGGCCATGTTATCGGTGAATTTGGTGATTAGCGCATTTCGGCGCTGGCGCCCATGGAGCAGCGCTAGCCAGTGCTAGGGTACGGATTCGACACTTGAGTTAGGGAGGTCGAAGTACCCATGGAAACAAATTTTTAGCCGACTCTGCCCTCTCAGGGGAAAATCGGTAAAAAACTGGCTAGGTGCCTGAAGATTAAGTTGTAATTTTGACTAGTGCCCACACCTGAAAGATCATGAAGTCAGTTGGAAAGCAGACTAACTGCTTTCAGTCCACATCATTTTCATTTGAATTGCGCTTGCGATGTGTATGGAACTCTGAAACTGGCTAACTGCTCTTCAATTCATGTTCTTCTCATCGAAACGCCATTGCGAAAGGTATGCAACTTCGAAACAGACTAACTGATCTTTAACTCAAGTCCCGCTTAACGAGGTTCGCGCTCTAATCGCTATTGGAAGCGTGAATCACCAAAGAATGGCAAAATGCCAGGAGCGCCGCGGTCGATACGCGTTGCGCGGACGCTGTAGGAATAGATGCGACCTCCATTGCGTACCGCAGTGTATTTGCGCGACGCGATTTCTGGCGCGCTGAGTATAAAAACATAAGATTTTTATCTTATACATATAACATAAAAATATTGCACACACATCGTATTATGCATCACTTTTATAAGTATACGTATGCTAAAGGGGATTCAATATTGTTACGTGATAAAAGTGTAAAGCCGAAAAATGCGAAACTAGCCAAAAAAGCTTGATAAAATTAAGAGGAGTTGAAAAAGTGACGCAGTGTGCTTAGAAGCTGTTCACTCACACCATTTTACAATTTTTCAGTCGTGTACTAAGCAGGATTTCGGTTTTATTGGTAAAGGAGAGTTAATTAAAAAATGTAATAGTTGAGGTATTACTCGAAAAATGCCAGCAACTTAGCTATTATTCAATCTCGCAATTTCCCCCACACATATTTTGTCCCAGACGACTTCAGGAATATACCGACTCTTTCCAGTCATCTAACAATGCTAAATGAGTTCACACGAAGAGTGCTTCACCATGTGCAGCACGCGGTACGCAATGGGTTAAAGACAGCCCCCGCGCTCAAGTAGTACATGGTCGTCCTTCCTTGTGCAAGTAGTACAGCCCCCAAGCTAGAGACTGTCCCACTCTCGCGACTCCACAGTGAGCGAGGAGCGAGCTACAGCCGCTGAAAGTTCTAGTTCTAACGCCCGCCCAGTTGGACTGCCCACTTGCTAGGGCTTGCTCTGACGGAGGGCTTGCTCTGACGGAGAGCCGCTCAGTTGTTCTTTGTTGGGGCGGCGGGAATTAGGAATTGCATGTTCTTTTTGCTGACCGCGCTGGTGCCAATGAGTAATTCTGCTCTCCTTTATTACATTTTATTCATTAGGGAGCACATGCAGCCAACTGCAACCCATCTTGCAAAGTAAAACGCGTAATGTACGGATGCGATTTTCGTGGTGCAAAAGCTCGACATGCACTAGAAGATGCACGCTACCGTAACCCCAAATTCGGACGCCGAGTTTTTGAAATTTTTTTTTCAAGTGTTTTTCGTCCGTGTTTTTGTTGTTTTTCGTATTCTTTTCTTTGCACTGGATGATATCCACTACTGGGAGATGCGATAAAGCGATTTGTGAGCCAGGGGTTGCACAGAGACCGCAGGCGGTGTGGTGTGACTGTCAGGGAGCGATTTTGTTTATGGTGTTCTTGAGGACTCTTCTTGCTTTTTTCTTCTTTGGGGAATTACTTATCAGCTACTGTTTCATAATTGAACAGCAACTATCCATGACACTTTAAACGCAGGAACTGTCTTTAATGGACGATAAACCGCACTACACTAACTTGACAGTCTCCCACTTCTCCCCACATATAACCTCGGATAGTCGTTGATTTGATGTAACTCTGTCGTGTCAGATTGCTAGGCAAAACTTTTGGTGCTAACGTAGTTGGAGGGGGCCACGCGGCTCTCGGCCAGTGA